TTGAATAAGGCTTGCTGCTCTTTAGAAATCATCTGATCATTTGAAATACACTTACATTTCTGATACAAAACAGGTAACTGGTAAAACTGAAAAACATGCACAAACCAGAAAATAAGTGTTGCTACTGTTTTGGGCTATGTCCTTCCAGTCCTTTTTCTATGCATAAATCTAGAATACAAGATCAGACCTGACTGTACTACTCTATAACTTGCTTTCTCATATATTACATGGTGAACATGATATTAAACATTGTTCAGTATTTTTAAGAGCTGTATGAATCCAGTCATAATTAAGTAGTTCCCTGTTGCAAGACACTTAGATTATTTCCAATTTTTTCCCATTATAGGGCCACAATGACTATCCTTGATGAAAAACTCTGGTTAACTACCCCCTCTCCCTGAGGAGCAAACCTAAGGCCTAGTGCATGACAGGTGAGCGTCCTACCACTCACCTACATTCCTAGCCCATCTCTGATTATTTTTTCAAGATAAATTTCTATGAGAACTGTTGGGTCAAAGGTTATAAATTTTTTTTTTGGTACTGGGGATCGAACTCAGGTCCTCGCACTTGTGCAGCAGGCAGCGAAACCACTGAGCTAAATCCCTGGCCCAAAGGTTATAAACTTTCCAGGTTCTAACATTCACATCACCATCAGCAACAGATGAAAGTATTTTCATCAATTTCATTAACACACAAAGGCTCAAAAAGCTTGGTTATAACCAAGCAGGAGAGGCAGAAATACAAACACGATTTCAATATGATGTGTAAATACAATTACTAGGAGAACATATAAACACAGAAAGGACTCATGAAAGATAAATTCTGAGTGAACATTAAAGGAAAAATAAGTAGGCCAATGGATATCAGGGAAACCATTCCCAAAGCAACTATTTTTCAAATGCAAGGGGGTGACCTTACACATAGCTCTGTTAGAAATGGGCTTTGCAGGGGCCGCCCACTGTGTCACAAGCGCAAAGTCTGGAGTTGGATCCCTGGTACCAAAAAAAAAGAAAAAGAAATGGGCTTTGCAGTATTTTGCTAGCATGAGGCCCTGGGTTCAATCTCCAGCATGAGGGGGGATGGGGAGGGACAGGAGAGGACAAGAAACACAAATGGGATTTGCAAACCAGAGAAGAAGGAAAGTAAACTTAGGAGGCAAGACTGTAGAAATAAAGCAGGGAGGTAAGCAGAGGTCAAATTCTAAAGGTTGCTGAGAAGCAGAACATGGAAGTGATCATGTCTTGTAAAAAACTGTTAAAGAGCCTTTACTTGACATTTTCCCTTGTTATTTTTTTAAAAAGGTAAGATATTCACTTCCTTCAAGGTCTGGAATTACAAAACACATACTATTTAGTTTCCCTCTCCCCACTAGTTTCTTATGTACCTTTCCAGCTATTTACGTACATACAAATATATACACATATTGTTTTGCATTTCCCTTTTCTCACAAATGGTAGAACATCATGAACAACGAAGTTCCACCTTCCTTTCTCAATAATGTACCCTAAAGATCTTTCCAGTCAGTACATAGCTCTTCCCTATTGTTACGGATCCACCTTAATTTATTTTGCACAGCAGCACTGAGATATTTAGGTAATTTTTAACCCTAAATTACCAATAATATCATCAATGACTTTGAGCATACATCAATTTGCATGTGAATAGGTATAAATAGAGACATTCCTCGAAGCGGAATTGCTGGGTCAAAAAGTATGCATTCATAACTTTGATATTGCCAAGCAGTCCTCATTGGGATGGAACCACTTCACAACCCACACTCCAGTCAGCATGAACTGTGGGGAGTGGCTATCTCCTCGATAACACCAATGCAGGAGAGAAGACTTCGATTTGTGCCTTTTTACTTTAGTCAGGGTCCTGCCATACTGCCCAGGATAGTCTCAAGGCTCCTGGGCTCCAGAGATCCTCCCACCTCAGCCTCCTGAGTGCTGGGTCTATGAGCATGTGACACAAAGTCTGTTATTTCTAACAAATTTTTAACTTGTACCTCAAGTAAATGAGTATATTAAGAAAAAAAAGAGCCGGGGATTTAGCTCAGTGGTTTTGCCACCAGCTGCGCAAGCACAAGGACCGAGTTTGATCCCCAGTACCCCCCCAAAAGTCATCTTGTTAAATATTTCATATGGTCATATTTCTCCTGGGATGGTGGGTCTTGTTATTTTGTACACACTTTGTATCATAGCAAAATGTTGCTTTCAATAGGAGTTGCAAATTTTTCCATTTGCTATGTCTTTGTCACATGTGTCGCCTGACTGTGCTTACCAAGTTTTTTGCCATGTGAACTTTTGTTTTACGGTTTCTGGGTGTTGTGCCAGGTTTGGAAAGACGTTTCACTGAGCATTGTGAAGGGAGACTTAAATGGAGTGCGGAATCAATAAGGAAGGAATGATGGGAGAGGGAGAGTTGGATATTAGGAAGGCTAGTCACGTGTGCAATGAACACATGATTAAGCTCTAAATAAGGCAGCAGGAGGGATAAAACTACTAAGAAATATGTGACAGTTCTTGATGATCTCTTAGGGGTGATGTAAAGGAATTTTTAAAAAGTACTTTAACTGTCTACATAAATTATCAGAATTCTATTCACAATTATTTGCAGACAGAAATGACAAATCTTAAATGTAGACTCTGCTTGCTTCTTACAAAAGGTGTACGAGGTACAAGTTAGAGACTCAAAGGCTTAGAACTAAGTGATTCACGCACTCAACTAGGTAAGTGAGGGGAGGGGATTCTAAACTCCAAACCTCCAAAATAATTCCATTGAAGAAAATTATGAAGCCCAGATAACAGCTATCTAAAAAAAAAAAGTTTCCAAACAATCCCTGATAGAGCTTTAATCTGGCAAGCTATAAAAAAAGAGCAATGGTCACAGACAGCCCCTGACAGGCTGGCACTCCCTTTTTTTGTTGCAAAGGACCACATTCATTCTAAGTTTACAGTCTTGTATTAAAATGTATTCTCTTCAGCGACGGCAATATGCCCGGTTTGCTTTTTAAATACCGTTATATTACAAAATTAAAAGCTGACAACGGGTCCATCCCTAAAAACAAAACCGTCCCCTAGAGAAGTCTCACACTGTTTTTGCGCCCCACAGCAGAAGCCGCGGTGGGAATCTGGAGGTCCACTCCGGGTCACCCTCAGACTCGAGGTGCTGTACTCAGTACCTCTCGGCGCCCACGCTGCGCCACTCCCGGGTACTGCTGCAGCCCCGACCCCGGCCCCACCCCGCTCACCACGGCCTCAGCCTGCGGCTCCAGCCTCCGGGGCACCACCCCTGCGCCGGGACGCTAGGAGATGACACCGGAACCGGAAGCAGCGCAGCTGAGAGCCAGAAGGACGGCCGAGCCCGGAACACGGCGGCTTCCGGTTGCGCCCAGCCGGTCATTCCGGCTTCTCTAGGAAGCCACATCTCTATTGTTTGTTGCTTTTTCCAGGAGGAGGAGGGAGTCCCTGCTGTAGCTGCTCACAGTTGTTCTGGAGGCCAGCTTTCTGTTACTTGGTTGAGAATACCCTAATGAAACAGATCTTGAAAGAAGTCTTGGGCCGGGGATTTAACTCAGTGGTTTCGCCGCCTGCCTCGCAACTCAGGGACCCGAGTTCGATCCTCGGTACCAAAAAAAAAAGTCTTTCTGGTTGCAAAAAATTACCCAGCAGCATTTCTTCCATCTTCACCCCAACACAGGCGCACTTTTCAACAGTATGTAACTGGTAACTGCAGATCATTTAAGTGGAATGAAGCTAAATTTCAAACCAGAACAGCTGAGATATCAGGAAAAAAAAAAAAGGAAGAAAGAAAATTCAAAACTGTAAAAACTTATGTGCGGGTCTCTAGCACATGGTTAATTTCAATTGTTCCTCACAGGAATCCTTTTTTTTTGGTACCGGGGATCGAACTCGGGTCCTTGGGGTTGTGCAGCAGGCGGCGAACTCACACGAATCCTTTGAGACAGGTAATATTGTCACAGCTTTAATGATACTGAAAATAAGTGTGTGTGAATTTAATTTGTTAAATATTCCTAATAACTAGTAGTGCTTTGAAATCGAAGGCAAGTCCTCTCTCCACCAGTATATGTAGTTTCTTATCCACAAGGAAGCAAGCAAATTACTCAGGATTCTGAGGCAGGATGGAGGTAGGGAAGAGGGGGAAGAAAGGCCAAGACAGCCTGTGTAGAGTATCTCGAACCTGAATATTTTAGCATAGGTAGGTAGAGAAGTCATGCCAACTTGAATGCAAATCAGCATTAAATGCTTGGTTTACTGGGAATTCATCAGAGCCTGTGATAATCTGGTGTGGGGTGGGAAGGAGGGAAGCTATCCTCCACTCTCATATATATATGAGGTCATGACTTTTCTTTTTTAGTACTGGCGATTGAACTCAGGGCTTTCACACTGAGCTACTTTTTACTTTGAGGCAGGTTCTTGCTAAATTGCCCAGGGTGAGCTCAAACTTGTGACCCTCCTGCATCAGCCTCCCGGAGTGCTGGTATTACAAATAGATGTGCATCACCACACCTGGCCTATAACTTGAATATACTCTGCTATCGATAGGCCCAAAAGTGGTAGATCTAAGAAAAAAAATAAACGCTAAGTAGTAGTAACAATGTAACCGAGGCCCTAAGATTTTTTTCCCCTTTCAGGTACTGCAAAAATAATGGTTGCTACGCAAGTGGAGGGCATATTTTGAAATACTAATATTATTTGAGTCAGATACTAAGGCTGGCTTTTGCTTTTTACCTGAAGATTCCCTTTGTGCTCTGCACCAGGATTGCCACTGCCCACCTGATTTGTGTATGGCTGTGGGGCAATGGCTCTACCCTTCCAACGCTTCTCATTTATGTAAGTATGAAAATAACAAACTTCACCCTGAAAGAAGTCATAATCACGTCTTCATTCTAAAAACAGCTCCTTAAAGGAAAGCCAGACTGACCTGTTTTCTTCTCCCTCTGAACAAAGAAGAATAATCTTAAACCCCAGTAATATTTTTAAGAACAGCAGGTTTATTGGAGGAAGTATCACTATTTTTTGTAAAAACAATTTTATTACACCAGTTTTATAATATTAGAGGTGATTAACAACAGTCTGGTGACTACCATCTAACAATAAAAGCGCCCTTTTTTACTTACACAGAATGGAAAAGGTAAACAGTCTGTCACTGAGGATACAGAGCTGCAGTGAATTTAATCTTACAGGATTTAGACACAACACAATTACTCCTCTACTTAATGCTCTTTTTGGTTTCAATTTCTCCCAAGACCTAACACGGTACACACCATGTATGAAGAAAAATCTCTCAAGGAGACACCACTTTCCTCTCTAAGCAGGTTTGCCTGCCATAGTTCTTTTAGTCAAGGCTATATAAGACTTCATTTTCTCCTCAAGTGGGAACATACATACTTTCATTTTACGCAGGGCAATTCTACACGACCAGGGTGTCTGTAAAGTATTTCCTCTTCATCTTCCGCAGGGATATTCAGAGTGAAAAACATCAATGAAGAGTACATAGGAAACCAGTAGATAACAAAAACAGGTGGGTAATGCTCAAGTTTCATGAGATAGATTTCAAGAGAGCTTGGTTTCTGATGGAGAACAAAAGAAAGGGGATTAATGACACAAAAATTAGCAACCAAGGGATTGTGGAGAAAGCACTGCTCTTAAGTTAGGATTCCACAGAACAAGAAGTGAAGAAAACACCATTGGAGACAGCCCCCACTTCAGAGTACTACGAAAGGGCTTGAAAGGAGGGTCAGCACTGCATGGTTAACATATTTACAACAGGATTATAATTTAGAAGTCTTGCTACCAGGTGGCTTAAACCATCGATGGTATATGTACGACTGTCCCATCAGGTGGTTTTTTATTAATTATACTGGTGAAAATATCAATAAAAGTGATTAGATCTGTTTGTATCACCAGTGGTACAAGCTGCCTAATAGGACAGTCATGCATGTACCACTGGTGGTTCAAGCTGATGGTAACATGTTAAACTCCAAGGTTAACAGCTGGCAGTCCGGGCGGACTCCTGGAGGAAGGTGGTGACCAGTGCCAATCACATAGCAGAACATTTACCTTGAGGTTACAGGGACCTCTTACTATCATTTCCTCCTGCACCTCAAGGCATGCATTGGCCTAGAAGATGAGTGAGGGCTTGGAGGGACCATAACCCTAGCATTCTTAGCGCAACAAATGTGACAATCTCCTGCATTAAGATCTCTGCATATAAGGTGACAGGATATCCTTCCTAGAAGACATTTAAAGATCAGAGTCTTTTCAGATGAAAAAGAAAGCCTATGTGAAGAAATAATTTCAGGCTCTATGACACAGTGATGAGATAACAGTAACACAGTGGCCAGAGAGTATCTGCTCAGCAATACAGGATGATACCACTTAGTGATCAACAGTCCTGGAAGCAACACATCTCTTCCCGTCCCCCCAAACTGTGCCTTGAATAATTATGCAGAGGGATGGTAATATCAAAAAGTTATATGCAAACCACTATTCTACCAAAATAGGACAAAGCCAAACAATCCTTTTCACAAAAGTATATAAAGCTTTCACTTCTTTCTTTGCTGTAACTAGAGGGAAGAGTACATAACACTTAAAACTAAATGATGAGATATACAAATAGGTTGTAAATCTGAGATTTACAGCGTCTTCCTAATGAAACCATGGTCAAGTAACTGTTCAGGTACAATCACTTTTAATAGAGGTAGCTACCCAGGAGAGCCCTAACTGGCCTCATACAGAATCACCATGGTGGGCAGAGGCACTTTGGTATAATGAAGAAAGCATGAACTTCAAAGTCAGATCATAGCTCATGTCCTGGCCCCAGCCACTGACTGCCAGTCACCTAATCTCACCGAGACTCAATTTTCTTATACAAATAGAAGGGTTAAATGAGATAACATACTCTCAGTAACTCTGAAACAATGAATTGCTACATGCATAATGCAAAGAGGACTGGATTTAAGGACTGTAAACCAAGAGGAATGGCTAAGAATGGAGAGACACTTAGTGCTAAGCAGATTTTGAGCTATGGACTTAAATGTTCTGATACTAGTTGAAGATGGGCTAAGGCCTTCCTGGAGGGCCAGCCACAGAGGTGGGAGAAGCTGGGGAGCATCTATAGCATCGACTGCTCAACACTCTTCCCTCCTATCTTTTGGGAAAGACTTTTTTCTCAATGATGAAAGATAGGAATGAGATGAGGAAGCCTCAGCTCTTCATCAATCCTAACTTTGAGGGAGTTGTGTAAAGGAAAGCAGCTTGCAGCTAAGGCCATCATCTTCTGACACTGCCATCAGATCACAAAAGTTGGAAGTTTGAGGAACTGCTAAGTTGCCAAACCAAACTTGGAACTGGTTCCTTCTAGACTTCCTCCTAATGGAATAGTCAGTGTCCTTAAGGGTAAAGCAATTACTCCTTGGTATCTCACTCATTATACCTGAAAATATCCTGAATGCTACCTTTGGCACAACTTCTTCTGAATCCCTCTTCCTCTAAAGTGTTGAGAAATATTTTGCCATGTCTTATATTTGAGCTTATGATGTACCATATGCCAGGGTTGCTGTGAGGTAGATAATTATTCCCCTTTGACAGAAAAAGCTGAGGCTCACCAGCAGTTTAGTGACTTGTCCTAAACTGACAAGCTACAAGTGGGGAGACTTGAGATTGGAACACAGATCTGTCCAACTCCATGGTCTATACTTTTACCTACCAAGCTCTACCTACAACACGAAGGCCCACTCTTCTACATTTTACTTAATGGTAACTAACTTTTTCAGGTTTTTGCACCTACAATTATTTCAATTTCCTAAGGACACATTCCCCCCCCAAGTTGTCTAGATATATACTGAAAAGATAGAGCTTAGGTAGTTCTCCATCATTTACAGATCTTTCTACTACTGAAAGAAAGATGCTCTAGATTTTGGCTGTGTTCTTTTAACACAACAGAAAGTATATACTTTGTGGACAACTTTAAAGTCAATTTAAAACTGCAAAAGACAAAGGACTGGTATTGATGGTTTTACTAACATGGAAGAGGTTCTAAAAGAAATTGACTTGGACCTGGGTCCACTCCTAAGTATTAGGCTTAAACCCAAGACCTTCAACTCTATACACTGAGACCCTTTTCTAACACTGTTTAATGAAAATGAGTGCGAGCTCATTGCATTTAAAAAATACCATACTTTTACCCTGAATATAAAAGTTGAACATTCTCACTGTAGAAAATCTAGAAAGCATAGAAAACTATACAGAAGAAAATAGAAACCATCTATAATACTGTCACCCAGAGGTAATCATCATTAATATTTTGGCTTAGTTTACTTCTTTGCCCTTTTTTCTTAGGCATAATTTTAAAAAACTGGATATTTCATTGTGTTTATCTTTCACTTAATCCAGACATTTCTCTATATCATTATATATATTTTTTGAGATGGGAGTCTCACTATAGTGGCCAGGCTAGCTTCAAACTTATAAGCCTTCTACCTCAGCCTCCAGAGTAGCCCAGCTTAATTATTCTCTGAAAATGTTTACAGTGCTGCAGAACCACTACCTGGATAGAACACCATCCATTTAACCCTGCACTGTTGAAAATCTAGGTTTTTCTCTTTCAGTTATATATGAAAGAACATTCTTTTAGAATATCCCTTTTGTTAACCTCGTCTATTATTTTTTCTATATGGATTCTTGGAAGTAGAATGAAGGTTACTGATACTACTTGCTTTTCAGAAAAGTAGTAATTAGCCCTATTACCAACAATATTTATTATTTATGAGGTTTCTTTCTCATTATGTTTTCTTTGATGCTGAATAAGCTGTGAGCTGTAACGATAGGCTTTCCCACATTCACTACACTTATAGGGTTTCTCCTTAGTGTGAGTTCTCAAATGTAGAATAACTTGAGAAGTCTGCCTGAAAGTTTTCCCACATTCATTGCATTTATAAGGTTTCTCTCCAGTGTGGACTCTCAGGTGATCAATGAGGTTTCGATTAGAAGTAAAGGCTTTCCCACACTCATTACATTTGTAAGGTTTCTCTCTACGATGAAGTCTCTGGTGTTCATGAAGGGTCTTACTTAAGATGAAAGCTTTTCCACACTCATCGCATTCAAAGGGCTTCTCCCCAGTGTGAATTCTCTGATGGTCCATTATCTTTGTATTAGAACCACATGTCTTCCCACATTCCTTACATTTGTAAACTTTCTTTCCTTTGTGCATTCTCTGATGTTGAGTGAGGTTTGAACTCCGGCTAAAGGCTTTCCCACACTCAGTACAAGTGTAGGGCTTCTCCCCAGTGTGAACTCTGTGGTGAGAAATGAGCCCTGAGCTCCGGCTAAAGGCTTTCCCGCACTCCTTACATTCATACATCTTCTCCCCACTGTGGATTCCCTGGTGCCGGATGAGGTGGGACTTTCCGCTGAAGGATTTCCCACATTCACTACACGTGTAGGGCTTCAGTCCAGTGTGGATTCTGCGGTGAACCACAAGGTTGGAACTATGACTGAAGGCTTTCCCACACTCCTTGCACTTATATGGTTTCTCTCCGGTGTGGATTCGCTCATGCACTGTGAGGTTGGCGCTCTGACTGAAGGCTTTCCCACACTCAGTGCATACATATTGTTTCTTCTCAGCTACAACTCTCTCATTTGTTGCGGGCTCATCGCACCGACTATCATCTTTTTCAGATTCTTGGTCACTGATAGCAGTGTGTGTTTTGCTGTCCTTAACTGTCTTGTGTTTGAAGCTTCTTGTCTTTCTCATTTTCTCATGCTTGGAGCATTCCAATGGTCTCTCTAGTCTTCTTCCTTTCAGGGAGCTTTTGAGAATGTGACCTCCTTAGCAACACTTCTGTAGGATTCTCTTGAGAGTACAACGTAATTCAAATTTTTCAAGAATGATGCTTTGGAATCAACTCCTCCTCAGACCCAGTTTCACCATCTGACAGGAGAAACAGAAATTAATCATGTTTTCTGTGCTAGGGGAAGGAGAATTATCCATGGACAACTAGTTGTGGTAGACCATGGGGTATTTTATGGAAGGTTCAAAGGCAGAGGAACTGATCAGAAAGATGAAAAAAGTCAAGTCAGACATAAAGGCCAAAGTAAAGGATTATGGAAAGCCAGGGGCTGATAGGGGTCCAACAGGTTCACCCTCAGAAAAAGCACTAAACTATAAAATCCACCCTGGATTCTTCCTGGTCCCCTCCCAGAATTGGAGCTATAGCACTCCTAATGTTAAGTTCAATTATAATATGGTTCCGCCAGAAAGAAAATTGAATGATTCTTAGATCAGGATCTGAAATGACTAATCTTTAGATGAGTTTGGCTTTTAGTTCTTGCTGACTTCTATCCTTAGTATTACTGAGAGTGGCTTGCACATAATAGGCACTCAAACATTGTTTTATAGGGGTCAGGGATTTAGCTCAGTGGCAACACACCTGCCTCGCAAGTACAAGGTCCTGAGTTCGATCCCTGGCACAGCAAAAAAAAAAAATTGTTTTATAGGATAGCAACTGGGATTCTCTCTTAGGGTGTGACTAAGTTCATCTGTTGGTATAGTGGCGAAGCCCAACCGACCTCCATTGCTGCTTGACAAAGTTCCAGCTGGGGGAAAGAAAGGGTGGAACACATCATACCCTCATGTTTTATTTTTTCTTGCCATAATGTTTATAATTGTTACTCTGATTACAGGAGTCATTGTGTTTGTGACTAACAACAAACTCTCCATGAGACACATTGGTAATGATATATTGAAATCTGATCTGGCTCACAAGTCCCAAATTCTAGTTTCTCTTAGTTCTATTGCCACATCCACTTCTAAAGAAACCTCTCCTAAAACCCCCTCTGTTTCCCCACTACTATAACTCCCCCTCTTATTGTTGACATTCTACTTACTAAAGGGGTCTTACAAAAAGATTGGAAAGACAGACTTTACGTGAAAGAAATAGTGAGAAATGAAAAATAGAAAGAATGTTAAGACAGGTAAATGCATTAAGGAGACAAGTTACTCAATATTTCTCAAAGTGCTGTAAATATCTCCTGCTTATGGACTATGAACCCAAATGACATTTAGGTAAGATGAATAGAGGTAAAGTAAAATAGAGAGCTAATAGCAAACTATATTAACCATTGTGCAGTTTCTCAAGGGCCAGCTGGCGACAACAAGTTTGACACTTAATTGATTAAATCTCGCTTGAACCCCCGCTGATATAAAGATTTTGATTAAGTTACTTTCTGTTCTGTTTAGGTGTGGGTAAATAAGGGGACAATTGTAATTTTTAAGTATGTATTCATGATGTTCAATGAAATGAAACAGCTTAGAGGAACTGTACCTTGTTTAACAAAAAATAACCTTTACTTCAATAGAAATTGCTAAGGCAACTTAAAATGTAAACATGTTCCGCCCAATGCCTCCCAGCTATTGCTTAAAGAGCTAAAAATAAATCAGACCCTGAGACTTCTCAGAGGGAACCTGAACATTGCTTGAGAAGGTTCTTTTCTCATCGGCCGGCCCAGGACATCTCCCCTTCCTACCCTACATCGACATCGACTGCAGCTGGCCTGCGGCAGTATAGGTCTATGTTTTAGACCCCAGGCTACATCTTTGTATTTAAGGGCTGTTTGATAAATGATAACATAATTCTGTCAGTGTAGAAGCCTAGTCACACCACAGCCTGCATTACAAGCCGCTCTGTAGTTGGTACCAACTTCATGTGCCAGTTCACCCACCTGTCTGTTTTCAGAATGCTGCCACTCTCATGGACTGCGTCTACTGGGTGAAGGTGAGAGGCTACGTAGGGGAAGAGAGTTAGCTAACGCGTGACAGGAAACTCTCACAGGACCTTCACTGGCATCACAGTAACCTACCTAAGAATGGCAAAGAGTGAGAGTAGGGACAGTACAACCAAGAGGGGCTCAGACTTGAAACCACCTATCAGGCATGAACAGGAACTTCCCAACTGGCTTCCTCATGGAACTCTGCACATATAGGGACCCTCAAGTCTAGAAGGAGGTGACTTATCAAAAACCCAAAGGTGCAGACTGGATGGCACATGCGTATAATCTGAGCACTCCAGGCTGAAGCAGAAAGATCAAGTTCAAGCCCAGCTTGGGCAACTCAGTGAGACCGTGTCTTGAAATAAATAAAATAGAGAAAGGGATATAGTTCATTACAAATGCCCTGACTTCCCCAGTTCTACGACAATGACAACAACGATGATGACAATGACAATGATGACATAGGTAACTCCATAATAACACGTGACTAATTTTCTTTTTACCATTTTCCTTGCCAGACTTATCCACATACATAATGTTGCATTATTAAATGTACAGTAGAAACTATTTGGCATTCTACTTCTTCCACTTAACTCCACTGGTAAATAAAAACTGTATATATATATGGTAAACAATATAATGTCTTGATTTATGCATACACTGTGAAATGTTAAGTCAAGACAATTAGCATATTCATTATCTCTCACACGTAACCATTTTTTTGTGGAAAACATTTCAAAATCTCTCAGCATTTCCAAGGGTATAATATATACTGTTACTAACTATAATTAACATTTTATACAATAGACATCCTCAACTTATTCCTCTAGGCCATATGAAATTTTTTATCCTTTGATCAGTGTCTCCCCAACCCACCCACTTAATTTTCGATAATATTTTTCCACATTATTTAATCTTCAGATGATAATTTAACATGTATATAATATGCCACTAATGAATTCATTGTAAGTTACCTACCTACCATTCTGTTAGCCTTAGATTTCTGCTGTTCCGTAAGGTTCAGGCACTATTTAAAATGTCATAATCTCATTATACATATAAAGTTTTCTTCCTATTGTCATGTATTCCTAGGATAGACGGCTCACAAGTGAGTTAAGAGTCAGAAGGAATGAAATTTTTCTGCAGTGCTGCCTGCTCCTTTCAAAAGGGTCTGATCAATTTCCATCATCTCTGATGATGGAAAATGCCCTGATAAGCTGTCTGAAGGAGGGACATACCCAGTAGTAATGCTCAAGGACAGCAAAAACAGAGCTTTCAAGGCTGGAGTTCACCTCTGAAGTGCAGCGTGCTAACTGAGGCACGGGCAATGCTCAAGTGAGGAGGGTGGACCTGGGCAGGGGCCTGAGCTCACTCCAACACATCTGCTGCTGCCTCTTCTAAGCAGAGGGGTTAAAGCAGGTGGAGGGAACTTGGCAAGAGGCAGGGACCTGCAGAGCAGAGCGATACCAGGGAGCTCATCTCACTAGAGTTCTGAGAAAGCTGATGGCTCTGCTTTCCTCTTCCACTTCTAATCTCTGAAACTTCTCTTTTCTTCATATATTCTTAAACTAGTAATTACTTACAATCCTATTCTATACATATTACTAATCTGGGTCTAACAGAGGGAAATTTAAGAGACCACTGTGATGGACTATCTCTCCAAACTTTCTCTGTCAAAGCTCTGACCTCAAAAGTGACTCTATTTGGAGATAGAGGCTTTGGGAGCCAAGTAAGATTTAAAGAAGGTGGGGCCTGATCCAAAAGCATTACATAGTTTCCTTACAAGAAATACTTCCTGCCCCTGCAGAGGCAAGAAAGGCCATGTGAAATCACAGCAAGAAGGTCGCCATCCACAAGGCAGGATATGAGCCTGACAGAAACCCAAGTGCTCACTTATTCTGAGACTTCAAGCCTTTGGAACCATGAGAAAATGTTTGAGCTATCCAGCCTCTGTTGTTTGCCATGGTGCCCCAAGCAAACTAAGGCAAGAGTGAAATAGCGTACCCACCTCTAAGGAGCTTACAATGGATAATGTAACAAGAGAGTAAGTTACAAATTTACAAATTACCCAAGTGGGAGAGGAAGGAAAAGAGGTAAGAAAAGGAGCAGTTACTGGGGCTTGGAATGCTGGAGCATTTAAAGGCAGAAGCAGCCAGGTGTGATGGCGCACATTGGTAATCCCAGCGCTCTGAGAGGCCGAGGCATGAGGATAGCAGGTTTGATTACAGCCTAGGCAACCTGGCAAGACCCTGAAGACCCTGTTTAAAAAAAAGAACTGGATATGGAGCACAGTGCAAAGGCCCTTGGTTCAATCCCCAGCACCACCATAAAAAACAAATATTTTTTTCTCAGAAGGAAGGTGGCATAGTTGTACTCACAAGTAAGTAGGAGATCACACTATAATGTAAGCCTTAGGCTGGCAAGGTTTTGTCCATTTTATTCACTACTCCATTTCTAGCATTTAGAACAGCTCCAGGCACTTAGCAAGCACTCACAATGTTTATATTGTTCAAGAGCAAATGAGCACCTGAAGTGAATCCTGCCAGAACGCTAAAGTTACAAGACAAAGAAAAAAACATATATAATTTGATAGTCAATAGGAAGCAAGTTCTAAAGAGAAGAATAAAATCTATTTCTCCACCCTATCAAGGGTGATCAACAAGTTGTGTAAATATTTAAAATTTTAAAATGCTTAAATTTAAAAAATACACTGCCACTTTAGGACTAAAAGGTATAATCAATATTGGGAAATGGAAAGAAAATGTTCAAATGGGAAGGGCAACAAGGGAGGAGGGAGGGGGAAAGGAAGGAACAAAAAAAGTGAAAAGAGAAGGAAAAAATGGAAACAAAGCTTTTATACATAGGAAAGGATGAGGGCTTGAGGGGAGGGGGAATGGCAAAAAAGAGGCGGGATGTACCATGTAGAGGTGCAAATTCCCATTATGTATCCCTAAAATGTACCAATAAATGTTTTGCTATAAAAAAAGATGAAACATGAATTAAAAGTATTTCCAACACAGAAAAAAGACACATTGCCATGAATCCTCTTCACAATCCTCCCCCTGCTTTGCTCACATTTATTCATCACTCTTTCCACTTTCTGAGGCAGTTTTGGAAATCCTTCAAGAGTGTCCTTGTGAGGTGTGATCACAAATATTGTGAATACTGCTCAGGTAGGAGGTAGCTAAGGAAAAGACTGGAGAGAGAATGGAGAGCTGGCCCTCTCGAGCTTGCTTTCTGGGCTAGATATGAAGTATAAAGTAACCAAGGAAACATTTATAAAGAAGGGAGGGGCACCCTGAAGCCTGGTTTCTGGGCTGGATCTACTTTCTGAGTTAAACATTAGCCCAGGACCAGGATGCCCAGGTCTAAACATAATGGGAAAAAGTGACCAGGAGACTTAACGTGTACACAGTAAGTCCCAGGCTTGTGCCCTTGGCCAACTCTAATCCTAATTACCATGTCACTGACTATGCAGATCTGACATCCCAGTGGACTCTGGATGCCAGATGGTTCCTATCAGATCAACCCGTCTATGCCACCCCAAACCCTAGGGCTTAAAATCCCCAACACCAAGACCTTCAGTGCTGTGAGCTCTTCTCACTGGCTGGCTCCGATCCTGTGGGGTGGATCTTGTCTTTTTTCTTTCAAATAAATCTCTGATCTTACTGCTATTCCTAGGTGTCCTACTCAATTCTTTGTTTAGAACATCAAGAACCTGAGCAAGTCCCCTCAACCTGATAACACTGCTGCTGAGGGCCAATGAACAGAAAGGGGGCCTAGTAAAAATAACACCTGTCTTCATCTACATCATTCACTGGATCTGGCACTGTGTGACTTCTGACTCTTCCTCAAAGTCAAAATGACCACGAAAGGGAAACATTTTCAATCAACTCAGGACACTGAGGCAGCCGCAACAGCATAACGAAAGATACTCATGAAAGAGGACTCCAGAACTGCTTCACAAAGTGGCAAGAACGATAGGATGAGTGTGCTGGGAGTGATGGGAAATATTCTAAGGGGGAGTACTGTCAACGTTTCTTTTACTGTAATACATTTTGTAAAATGTAAACAACAACTGTAGTATTTTTTGATCATAGGTCATATGGTCTTTTCTCCACCTTGCTCTCCTCATTCGTCCCCTTCCCTGGCACTTGTTAATACAGTTTGCCGAGCATTACTGTTCATTTCCCTGAATTCCCATATTTCCGTCCCCTCTGCCACCTCTCACAATATTCATGTTTCTCTCAGTTTTATAAAGTGGAAAGCAGAGAAAGGCAGCTGGGGTACCCCACCCAATGGAGAGGGGGAAAAGGGAAAGATTCCATGAGGTGCTGCTTAGGAATACAGTAATCATGTATCTCGGCTCTCCAAGACCAGTGGTGGCTTGAAACTGTACCTCAATATCATATTTTATAATTCCTTCCTTAACTCACAAAAATATCCCAGTTTGGACATAAACTTTGCACATATCCAAAACTGAAATTAGGATGAGAATACTTTAGGAAGATTAGCTCACATGGATTAGAAAGAGAATGAAGGAAGGAAAATGAATTAGGTGCAAACTTTAAGAATGTGGTATTGATATCCATTGGAGGGCCTGGCACTTTGTAGATGACAAATAAATATTTGTTGAATGAATGAACAATGAATAAAATAGCAAGACCCTAGTCCTAGATAATGACAGAAGAGAGAACAATGAAATCCAGCTATGCTGAGACACCATCCATATACATCAGACTGGATCTGGAGGATGACTGATGGAAACAATCCAAGGACATGAGACCTCATCTGGTAACCAGAATGGTAGTGTCACTAAGGAAGATGGGAACAGGGGAAAGCACTTTAGACAAGGGGAAGAGGAATGTATCAGGAATACCAAGTTGAGCATAAGACAGAGGACATCATGAAAACATATAAGCTTACCAAGACAGGGATGTGGGTTGGAAGGGGCAGGTGGAGAAAAAGAAATGCATAGGGTGGCTCAGGGTGTTTCTATAGGACGAAGCAGAACTACAAGATCAGGGAAGGCTAGTTTGAGGGGAAAGGACCTAACTTTAGGCTGCTTCCTGGCTGAACCGATGTGAAATTCCCTCAGAAGTCCAGGAAGAATTCCCAGGCCCTGAGGAGTAGGGTCTTGGGGATGGTAGCAAGAGTCAGGAAAGATAAGGCCATGGGCCAGTGGGACACGGACGGTGTCTAGAAAACCGTACCATAAACTCGGGTAGCTAGAGAATGGATGAGCAGCAATGAGGCCTAACAGGTCTGACCCACGAATCCCTGAGGCTGGGAGCTAGATAAGTGTTCTGACCCCAGGACCACCTCCCATCTCAGGGTGCAAGGAACACACAAAGTGCAGAGTCCCGTTCCCAGAAACAGTGAGAGCAAGAGTGTGAGAGACTTTACCGAGGCAAGCTGTATGCCTTTAATCTCCAGTGCCATTTGTTTTGGTCCCTCTGAGCAAGGGTCACATGGTCTTTGGTCATTAACTGAGTGAAGAATAGGAGGAAACACCTGAAATAAATTCAAGATACAGATCAGTGAAATGTGAAAATTGAAAAAAAACTCCAGCAACAAGAAATATGAAAATATGAACAGTTCTTATCTCATGTATAACACAAGGACTAACACCATAATGAAAAAAGCTAATACATTTAACTATATAACATTTTCTGTACTTCAAAAAAATCTGTAATATAAATAAGAGTTTATCTTAAATGAGAATTGCTTGTGTGCATGTCTGTGCCCCTCCTCCTTTCAGGGACAAATTAATCCCTAAGCCCACAGAGGGCAGAGCTCGTGAGATTGGCCTGTGGGCACCACACAGTGCTTGGCACAAAGAGGGTTCACAGGGTTCAAGATTCTCTACCAAAGAGTGCACACAGGATGGTAAGAGGTGAATCCACCACCTATCACCACCATGTCGTCATTCTGGGCTTCATATGGTTTGACGCACACCATGACAGAGTATTTGCACTCTTGTCAGTTCTATCTCAACACAGTCACCTAAGGGCCTAAATTCTTTAAGAAACTGATCAGCCCCAGTCCCCAGATGTTCTCTGAATGCCAGAGCTGGAAGGACCTCCCAAACTACCTAGTCACATCCAAACGTAGAGATGGGGACACTAAAAGCTGAGGCGAGCTGGGACTACACCCAACCTCAAATTCCACTCCATTACTCTCTCCCATCATCCCAAATGAGATCCAGAGGTCCCCCTCCCACTTCCAGGCTTTTCTCCTGTTTGATAAATAATCACTGAGAAATGCTCTCTTTCAATCCTGGTCCACACATTCCTTAGGAAGGTTTTCTGTCCCTGTCAGTCTGCCTCTCAAATGCTCAGGAGAGAAGGGAGTGACTCACCCTCACTCCTATACACAGCAGCTGCTCACCAAAGATCTGGCCAGCATGGACCCCACTGACACCCCGCCCACCCCCCCGCCCCCCCGCCCCCGTGGGCTCAGTGGGGAAGTTCCCAATGTGTCTCCAATCACTGTAAACACAAACTATGGAATCCTCATCAGGCAGGGCGGCACCTATCTGAAACCCCATCACTCAGGAGGCTGAGGCAGAAGAATCGTAAGCTCAAGACCAGCCTGGACTACACAGTGAGTTACACCAGTTCAGGCTGAACTATGTAGTGAGACTTTGTCTCAAAAAACCCCCCCAAAAATGAGTTCTCTGAGACCTCAACTCCAAGTGGACAGTCTGGGCATGTCTCATCCTTGGGTACCCCCCTTTCCGGTAGAATAGAGTGATGATTCCCATCTTAGAGATATGGAAATGAGGTTCCCAGGGACTGAATGACTCGTCTTGAGATCAGTTGACACGTGACAAGCCTTCTGTGTCCCAACGAAATTCTCATTCTAACACATCAAAGCTGCTTCTTTTCAAAAGCCTCCATATTCTCCTGTAACTATAAAATGCATTCCAAGAGGAATTTCTCTGCAGTCCAGCTTTCGAGAAAGTTAGCAGAATGTGGAAGAGTGGGGAACTTAGCTAGGTGTCTTTGAAGAGACAGGAAGAAATAAATCCTTAAAGGCTTGACACTATAAGACACAAGCAGAAAAACAGGGTGGTTTTTTTTGATCACCCATTTTTTAGCTATTAGGTGCTCATGCTCTGCCTCCAACCTTCAAGCCAGTTGCCTTTCTTCTTTCCCAGAACACAATTCCGCCTGATACAAACTGTATCCCCGGGACCTATAACACCCCTGGGCAGATGCTCAGGGAATATTTGCTGTGTGAATAAATGAATGGTAGCGCCCCTGGGTCCGCACTGAGTCGGGGCGGGAGTCCCGGGGAGCCGCCTGGGCGTCGAGCGAGGGCGGGCGGCACCGTCCCCACCCGGCCGCAGCGAGGAGCAGGGGCCCGGACCGAGACAAAGGGAGAGAGGGGCGCCCGACCCCTGGGCTCCGCGCCGCCTCAGCGCCGGCAGCTGCGGAAGAACCTGGCTCCGTCCTGCACTCCGCGCGCCCTCTACCCCGACCGCCCGGCCCTCGCGCAGCTAAACGCTCACCGCGAGCGCCACCAGCGCGTCTCGGAATGGGGCGGAGAAGGAACTGCGTCTGCGACGCCCACTGAGCCCTCTCGCGACTCCGGCCCCTCTAGGCACCGGGAGGCTCCGCGTCTCAGTGCCCCCCAGGCCGGGGTCCTCCGGTTGCCTAGCACGCTGCGCATTGTCCCGAGACCCTTTGGCCCCGCCTCCCGCCCAGCCTATGCCCTAGCACTGGACGGGAGGACCAGAGAATTGGAGAGCTCAGCCAATAAGAAGAGAGCGCTGGAAAGGGGGGCGCCAGCGGGGCCGGGCTAGGGCGGAAGAGGGAACGCTTGTGCGGGCGGCCGCGCCGGGCTCCTCGCGCCTTGATCCCTTGAGGCCACCCGGTCACCGGCCCCGCGGCTGGCTGAGAAGTGGCCTGCGCTTCCACCCGGGCCTTTCAGCCTCAGAGCCGGGACTGGCTGTTTATGGGCGACAGGTGAAAGGACGTCGGGGGGCTTGCGGACAAGGTGACCCGAACTTACAGTGAATGTTTACATTTAAACAAAATATTATAGTCAAAGACACATTGCTGCGAGCCCTCCCTCCCGATACCCCAGCTTCCAGCACACTCATCCCGTCATCTTGCCACTCAGGCAGTTCTGGAGGCTGAGGCAGGAGGATCACAAGTTTAGGCCTCGTCTGGGCAGATTAGCGATTTATGGAGACCTTATCTCAAAGTAAAACGTCTTTAAACAGGGCTGGGCGTGTAGCTCAGGGTGACGGCCTGGGTTCGGTGCCCAGCGCCTCCCCCGAAGCTACTGCAGTGGTAGAAGAGGAATGATGGTAGCGAGGCCTAGCTTGGGAGCCGGCGCTGTGAAAAGGACGCGCACACTTACCTCGGGGTCCGGGGTGCGTCAGCCGGAGCGAGCGGCCTGGGGTGGTCCGGGGCAGGGAAACGGCCTGAAGGGCCCAGGCCTGCGGGGAAGGGTCAGTAGTTTGGATGCGTTTGCGGTCAGTGGCTTCGGAAAGTTGGAGGGATGCACACGTTCCTGAGAGGGTGTCGCGGGCAGCTGGGATAGGGGCCCGGGCTCAGCGGAGAGAGCGGAAGGCGTCGCCGTGCACGACCGGGCCGGGTCGCCCAGGGCCGGGGACCAGGCTCGACCCCGGGTGGACGCAGCTGCAGCCCGCGCTCTTGCTGCTCAGACCCCTGCGCGGCCCGGAGCTCCTGGAGCAGCGGCCAGGCCGCCCTTCCCGGAGGCGGTGCCGCCCAGAGCCGCCCGATTCCAGGGCTGGCCCCGGAGCTTCTGGCAGATTGGCTGTGGTTTGATAATAGGGGAAGTAATTGTAACCCAACCTGCTAGATGTCAGACACACCGAGTTCCCCGAAAGAGGGGAGTGAATTCTAAGGCACGACGGAGGTTAAGAGTAGGAGAAACTTAGCGAAAGAGAGATAGCTCCTGACAGACAGGAGGGGCGCGGGTGGGTTGCCGTGGACCCCACTTCAAAGAGGAAGTTCTATAGAGCAAAATCACAAGGTGGGAACAACGTGGGTCGAAACTAATCAGTTATCAGTAAGATTACAAGCATAGCCGCTTAGGTAATACTGATCCAGTGGGGAAGCTGGCCACGTAGCGGTTGAACACGGAAGAAACAACGACCCTTTTAGGAAGGGATGGATCGGGAGGTCCTGGTCACCCACGTGGGTGACTGACCTCTGTCTAGACTTTCTTGGATCAGGCAATTCCAGTTATTTTATCCCCTGGGGAGGCATGCAGGCCTGGCCTCCAACTGATGCGCCTCTGGCCTGAGCTGTGATGTTCTCACCCTCGGCACAGACGCCCTCGAGGCCCAGCCCTGTCTGACGGCCTAGGATATCTCTACCTAACTCAGCTGTCTGTGATAATTTCCTCCCCTGCGACCTCATGACTCACACCTGGAACTGTCGCTGTCCACGGCCTGGCTGGGACCCAAGGTCGGGACCGCAGCCCGGACCCAGGCCTCGGAGCAGGCGCAGAGGCGGGGAGGGGCCGCGCGGGTGCTCCGGTCAGGTCAGTCGGGTAGAAGCGGCCTGTCTGTTGCCCGTGCACTGCTGGTACTTAACCAGGGGAGAGCTGCTGAACACGAGGACACGACGAGCTGCTTTCAAAGCCAGACGCATGTGTAGAAAACAAATGAACAAGCAGAGATTTATTTCATCACGGTGGGAGACTGACCATGAAAAACTTGAAGCAAAGGAATATTGCAGAAAACATTTTAAGACCTAAAATATACCAATAAAATTAATTTTTTTAAAAAAACTTACAACCCCTTAAATAGGTCAGGAACTGTTCTAGGTAAGTCTGGAATTTCACATTTTCAAAAAAAAAGAAAAGAAAAAATCTTAAGAGACTGTGTGAAATCTAGGAAGCATGCTTCAAGTTAATTAAAATATGCCTATTTTGCTGGGCATTGGTGGTGCAAGCCTGTGATCCCAGCATGTGGGAGGCTGAGGCAGGAGAATCGCCGCAAGTTCGAGACCAGCCTGGGCTACGTAGTAAGTTCAAAGATGGCCTGAACTACACAGACCTTGTCTCAAAAACAAAAAACAAAAATCAGTAATGCCTCAGAATGTGTCTGTTCTCAAGACCTTTTTATTCAAAGTTTTAATAAGTGTACCTTTTAAAATGTCTATAGTACTGAATTTATTTTCAGGCTTTGTCCTTTGCTTTATCTTGGAATATTTTAATTAATATAGCACGACACCTCATGTTTCTTTTGCCTGCTGGTATAAGATCAAGCTGTTGTCAAATGACAGCTTTTTAAAGGGGGGATTATAAATAAAAAGCCTAATTATTTTAGGTGAGTTTACCAATTACTGGGGCCCATCTACTCTGGGTCTAATTTTACCAGGTAGGATTATAAATAAAAAGCCTAATTATTTTAGGTGAGTTTACCAATTACTGGGGCCCGTCTACTCTGGGTCTAATTTTACCAGGTAGAGTAACAGCAAGTGGAAATCTAGCATTTGTTGTTGCCATGACCTCATGCAGTGAAGAGAGAAGGAATGTGGTTGGTATCGCCCGTCTGCTGCATCTTTCCAGGGTGAGTTTGGGTGTCTGTGTCCATCTGTGTCCCCAGGGAAGGTGGCCGTGTCCTTGTGTGTGGTTTCCAACATTCTGGCAGACACGAGCCTGAGGAGTTGTTGGAAGAGAAGAAGCCCCAGCCTTTGCAGAGGAAAGCTATTTTCTTATTCACATATTTGTTTCCTGGAGTACTTCTGGGAAGCAAGTCATGAATTATCAAGTATTGTCAAAAAATGATGGATACAGCTGGGTGGGGTGGTGCACACCTGTAATCCAGCTGCTTGGGAGGCTGAGGCAGGAGAGTCACAAGTTTGAGGTCAGCCTGGGCAACTTAGTGAGTCTCTATCTCAAAAAATAAAAAGGGCTGGAGAAGTGGCTCAATGGTAAAGTGCTTGCTTAGCAAGCACAAAGCCCTGGCTTCAATCTCCAGCAACACACACACACACACACACACACACACGCACGTGCGCACGCACACACACAAATGATAAATTTTTACTTTCGAATTTTCTGAAGCATATATTTTGAAAATTATCCATCAAAAGCTTGTAATTCCCAGACAAATAAATTTTAGTTTTTATAATTCTTTTCAAATTTCATGGATAAGGCTAATGTCTAAGTAATATAACTAATTTTCAGTGTTAAGATATTTGAAAAACGTTTAGAAGTCCTTACCACTCCACAGAATAGCAAGGAACCTTACGAACGTGGCACTGTCCTGAAAGAAGATATTAGTGTTCATTAGTCTATTTATGGTGATAGTTTTACTTCCACAAATGTCTCATAATTTCTAAAATGATGCTGGCAACTATTGAATTTGCCATATTTTGAATCAGTGATATTAAGTTGCTGTTGTCTCAAGAAAAAGCACTTTCCTATATTGATGATTCCAGAGCCCGAGGAGTTATCCTGATATAGTTAAAGGGGGGGTCTTCCCACACCCCAGTTGTCCCTTAGTCCCTGATCGCCCTAGAGGAAGAAACCATGGTTCCAGAGGAATATGGTGTCATTCTCCATAAGAGAATTCATTGATAAATGACGTGCATTTGGTGGGTGAGGGAATCCAGTACTCTTGAATTCATAAACAGTACGTGTGTGCCAACCGTTTTCACAAGTTTATGTGTGCTGTTCATAGTTTGCTGTTACCATGTGGCTCTCAGAAGGCAAACAGGACAACACACAATGCAAAGTCTGACCTGAGGAATATCTGTTTCTTGCACAGAAGTATTTACAGGATGGAATTTGATCACTATATTTTGTTTTCTAATATAAGTTATTCAATTATATCTTTATCATTTTATATCATAGATTAAAATTTATAGTGGGGCTGGGGATTTAGCTCAGTGGTTCCGACGCCTGCCTCGAAAGCACAAGGTCCCGAGTTTGATCCCTGGTACCAAAAAAAAAAATTTATAGTGAACAAACTATTAGTCCAGAATGATGTTGTAGCTCAGGAATCAGGGTAGTGTGTGTGTGTGTGTGTGTGTGTGTGTGAGACATTTGCTGAATTCATAGGAATAATTTCATTTGTTTCTTTTTGAAACAGGGTTTCACTAAGTCATTAAGTTACCCAGGCTGCACTTGAATTTGCAGTTCCCTTGCCTCAAGTCCCAGAGCGCTGGGATTACAGTGTGTGCCAGCACACTCAGCTTAATATGAAGCAATTTCAGTCTTTATTATGACTTCTGTTAGGCAACAAAATTCCAACTCGACTTTGAGTACATGAAATCAATATCCACTGGGCCGGGGATTTAGCCCAGTGGTTCCATTGCCTGCCTCGAAAGTGCAAGGACCCGAGTTCAATCCCCAGTACCAAAAAAAAAAAAAAAAAGAAATCAATATGCACTTTGGCCAGGTTATACTTTATTTGTAAGAATGCTGGTTTCTTTTGGCAGTTCAGAATCTATTTGAGCATATGTATCATGGGATATAATAATGGATCAAAAGATACTTCAAAAATATAGAACTGGAAGTGTTTCTTCCAGTTGAATCCCTGTCTGAAGTCAGCTCAAATGAAACAGGGGAATTACCTCAGAGGATGACCACAAGCTATCCTGAAATGGATCAGGTTGGGATTTCGAAGAAAGAAGCATTACACACCTGAGTGATCTGTCCGAAACTTTTACTGGGAACCTATGCACAAAAGGCTGTGGAATCCTTAAGATGGCCAGTGAGAGCGGCATGCTCTACCAAGACAGGTCTCCTGTAAAGGGTGGGCTATGGGGCTTCTCCAAGGCTTGATCAAATTAGCTCAGAATCTGGTCTGGTTTCCTTCAGTGTTTTGGGGCAGCAACCTAAACACCTTTATGAGTACCTGGGAATGTTGCAGGCCCTGCCCTAGGTTCAAGGTTATAAAGAAAAACACACAGCTGTCCGGTCTCCATCAAAGTACTGTTATTTCTCAAAGAGGACAGAGAAGAAAGTGCTGGAGCCTGAGAGACCCAACACAAAGGGACTTACTCCTGCAACATGTATCACATTATGAAGTGTGAAGGGCTTTCATTGGTGTTTAATGATTTAAGCCTCAGAATAGTTTCATAATCTAAGATGATGCTTATTTTTCTAGATAAGGAAATGTGAAATGATTTGTCTGGGCTTCTACAGAAAGTATAGACATTTTTAGGTAGAGACCTGGCTCTTTCAACTACAGATTTATTGTCTTATTTTTTTTTCTCTCCAGTGCCAGGCCTCAAACATTCTAGGTAAGTGCTCTACAACTGAGCTATGTCCCCAGCCGCCATGTTCATTTATCTATCACCACACTGCTTCATGCTACAAATCAATTCCTTCCAAAGGGTGTTTGAGTTATGCACCATCCATAATCCTCTTCTAACTTTTGCAAACTTTATTTTGAAACTTTCATGCAAATGCCCCCTAGCTGAATTCAATCTTCATTATTATTTTGTCATATTAGATATCTCCCTCCTCATGTATATATATTTATTTTCCTGGTTAGTGTTCAGCCATTTAAAAACACATAATAGCGATGATGTTACCAAATGAAAATATATTCTTTTAAGATTATGATACACAGTGTATTTAACATGGTTATTCTCTAATAATTTTTGTTATGAAAAATTATTTTTCATAGAATGGCTTTTATATTTTCTTTATTAATATCTACTTGTAATACATTAAAATAAAATTTTTAAAAAATTTTCTCAGTGGTAGAGTGCTTGCCTTGGATATGTGAGGCCCTTGGAACAT